TCTCTCTCTCTCTCTCTCTCTCTCTCTCTCTGTCTTGTCTCTCTCTCTCTGTCTTGTCTCTCTCTCTTTCTCTCTCTATCTATGTACTCATCCTCCTCCCAGTTTACATTGGCACTTAAATGACCTCTATGTTTTGCAAGTGCTGTAAAACTCTTATTACTACGACTAAAACCAGCGTAATATGTATTATGTACATATAGTATATCAGGCCACGCAATGTGTTGACAAACGCCACCGGTCGTCCTTGGAGCAGGAGGACCCGAGTAGGACCCGTGTGTGTGTGTGCGTGTGCGTGTGCGGTATGGCGAGACCTGGTCATTCACCTGGGACGGCCTGTCGCCGGATGTGGCCTTCCGAAAAAATAAGAACAGACGTGTGGGCTGCTGGAGCTGGTCAGTCAGTCAGTCGCGCTGTTGGGGGCTTCGGGTTCTCTACACCTGTGGTTCCTGACTGGTTCCGGTGGTGGGTGGGTGGGTGTCCTGGATTATGCTGACTGGAAGCTTTGGCCAATCACCCAGTCAGTCCACTGGTCCTTCACAATACTTCGCATTCCATCCTCGCGAGCATAGTATAATACAGTCGGGCAGTGGGTGGTTGGCGGGTGCTCTGGTGTGGTTTGCTCCTTCTTTCCTATCAAACATCTATCGTCCTTATCTTCCCTTCTTCTTTTTTATGTTTGTTACTCTCTTGTAACACCTCTAATCTTCTGGCGCTCATACGACCTTATGCAGCTGCGAGTGCCGTAAAACCTCTACTAAAACGAAACGGATTATAACTCAAATAGTTGGGGATGGACAAATAGATGACCGTCTTAGTCTTAGATAATTTCGATCGTATATAATATACATGTATTGTATGTACGTATACATTTATACGTCAACATGGGAGTCCTTGGTTACGAATTCGAATGGGTGGGTGGTTGGCGGGTGCTCTGTTGGTGTTTGCTTCCTTCTTTCCTATCAAGCATACATGTCGTCCCTATCTCTCCTCTTTCTTTTTTGTGCTTGTTGCTCTCTTGTTTATATGACCTTATTGTGTTGCAAGTGCCGTAAACGCTTACTAAAACAAAACAAAAAAGTAAAACTGAAAACGAATTCAAGTGGTGTTTGAATTGAATGTTATGTCTTGTCCTGTAACCCCAGAGTGGTGACCTGGCAGGGGTCCAAGGATTGAGTTTCAAGATGACCCGCGATTTCTGTCAAGAAGGATGTACACTTCAACAACAACCTCTACATATTGGTTTTCTATTCATTGCTTCTTTTCCTGTTACACATGTTGGCTCTTGTCTTCAAGAATGTATGGTTTATGGCTCAGTGGTTGTGGGATTACATTTTTTTCTTTGTTCGCTCGTTGTTGTTGTTGGGTTTTTTTTGGGTCGTTTTTTGTTTTTGCTTGTTTGTTGTTGTTTTTTTTAAAGGGGGGGGGGGTCGGTGTGCTTGACAATGAGTCATCCCGAGAGGGGCAATACTTTACCAGGAAGCAAATGTCGGTTGGTTGGGTGGTGGGTGTTCTGGTGTGGTTTGTTCCATTTTTTGTGGGTGTTTGGCGGTGCTGTGCTGTGGTTTGCGCTTTCTTGGTGGATCTTTTGCGTGTACTTCTGTTGTGGTTTGTGCGTTCCTTCCATCCTGTCAAAGATCCATTGTCCTTATCTCTCCTTCTTTGAGGGGTGGGGGGTGGGTGGGTTCTTACTCTCTTGTAAAACATCTAATCTTTGGCATTTATATGACCTAATTATTGCAAGTGCCGTAAAACTTACATAAAACGAAAGCTCTTTCTTTCCTATCAAACATCTATGATCTCTCCTCCTCCCCTTTATATTATTATATTACCCATTAGTAACAATTCTATTCTTTTGCACTATAATATGACCATGACTCATGTCTGTTACAAGTGCCGTAAAACTTACTAAAACTACACCAGGAAGTAGATCAGGCCAAGGACAAAACTTAAAATACACAGGATTTCCCATCTCCAGAGCACGCACTAGTCACCTGTAAACAGGCAGCGATGATGGGGGTGGGGTGGGGGTGGGGGGAATAAAATACAATAAAATAATTTAACATACTTTGAAGTGTTTCAAATGTGGTTTGTTGGCAGTCGTCCCGACACAATTTTCTCCTCTTCTAATTTTTTTTCACGGTTGCAACGTTATAATGTATTAAAATTTTCGTGGCCTCGTCCCTAATTCTAATCCAGTAGAGGGCGCTCCATTAGCTCAGTTGGTATCGTGGCGGACGATGAAGCGGGTGGCCCTGGTTCGAATCCCAGACTGGGGCGTTCTTGAACTCCGGTCGTTTTGTGTTTTTGAAAAGGCTCTCAACCCTTTTTTTATTGGCTCGGTCCTATTGGAGACAGACGTTAAAGTCTTTATTAAATTTAATACATCTTAAATAACTTGATTATGTTGATACGCTCTGACCACCAGCCCGACAGATTAATGCAAACAAGTAGTTTGACATCATACTTCCAATTGCTGCGAGCTGAGTGCTCACTGCAGTAGTAAGACTTGGGGAAGAAGAAGCGTTGCTTTTTTCTGATAGAGCGTTATTCTCCAGCTTTCCTGCACGTGTGTAGCCTACGTCGTCGTTTATCGATGCAGCCAGGCGTTGGGTCACGCCAAAAAAAAAGAAGAAAAAAAAGAAAGAAAAAAATCGAACTGGCGTGGTGCGGTGACGGTTTGCCTTCTACTCTTGAGCTAGATCTATAGATGTTCCTTTAGTGGGTCTTGGTGTGAGCGAGGTAGATTTGCAGATGTTCCCACCTGTTGTTTACGTGTCGCACGTGCATGTGTGTGTGTGTGTTTGCGTGTGTGTGTGTCTGTGTGTGTGTGTGTGCGTAGACTGATAGATAGATAGATAGATAGATAGATAGATAGATAGATAGATAGATAGATAGATAGATAGATAGATAGAT